TGGTTTGCACTATCTCTAACAAGAAGTCAGTAATATAATATACTTACCATTATTCCCTATAAATAATCTGTCTTTTTCCCTCTGGCTGCTTTCAAGATTTTTCTCTTTATCACTGGTTTTCAGTAATTTGATTATGACGTACCCTTGTAAGGTCTTCTCTGTTGGGTTATTTAACTTCTTAAGTCTGTGGGTTCATGTTTTCCATCACATTTGGAAAAAGTTGTTTTATTTCTTCAAATTTGTTCTGACTCAATCTCACTATGACACTCCAGTTATACCTACTTTAGATTGCTTAATATTATGTCACAACTCACTAAGATTCATCATCTTTTTCTAGTATTTAATTTTTTTTATCTGTGCTTCAGTTTCTACTATACTCTTTTCAGGTCGACTGATTTTTCTAGGTGTCCAACTGACAGGCCTACTCAGTTAATTTTTCATTTTAGATATGATACGTTTTGGGTATAGAATTCTCATTTTGTAAAATTCCTTATTTTTTCTCTCAGTATGTTTTCCTTTAAGTCCCTGAACGCACTGTAAATAGCTGTCTTAAAGATTTTACCTGCTAGTTCTATAAATTGTCATTTGTCAGTTTGTTTCTACTGACAGATTTTTTTTCTAGTTTTGGTTCATATTTTCCTACTACTTCACCTAAGTTATTTTTTATTGCATTATAAATGCTACACCGTTGATTGTATTTGTTGTCATCTTTAACAGTGCTAAGTTTTGTTCTGGAAGGCATTTAATTTAGTTAAAGATCAGCATAATCTTTTGGAGTTTGTTTTTAAGCTTCTTTGAGTCTAAAGTAGCCTTTACTGTAGGACTAAATTAACTGTTTTTTTTTTTGTTTTTTTTTAAAGATTTTATTTATTTATTTGACAGAGAGAGACACAGCGAGAGAGGGAACACAAGCAGGGGGAGTGGGAGAGGGAGAAGCAGGCTTCCCGCGGAGCAGGGAGCCCGATGCGGGGCTCGATCCCAGGACCCTGGGATCATGACCTGAGCCGAAGGCAGACGCTTAACGACTGAGCCACCCAGGTGCCCCAAAATTAACTCTGTTTTTAAGGCTTGGACTTTCTGAAGTCTCTAAAGCATTATGCAAGTTCCAGTTATTTTTCAGCTCACAGGTTTCCAGTAGCTGTTCTTTCCCTAGTAGTCCTATTTTCCCCCAAACCTTACTTTATTTTTATTGATACAGGTATTCCTGACAGTTAATGCTGGTGGCTTAAAAGGAGGCAGTTAAAGAAAAGAGGAAAAAGAAAAATTATTCTGTCTACCTCTTTAAAAAAATATTTCCTTTAAAGGCATTATTTTTTAATTATTACATTATTTTCCTAGTATATATAATAGAGGAAGATCCCTGAACAAGAGTTCTCAAATCACATCCAATTTCTGATATGCTCACTTTAGGAAGCATCTATAATTTCCTTTATTTCTTAAATTACTCATAGAAATAATTCTGAATCATGAAGAAAAGACATTGAGAATAACTTATGTATTTTTTTTTTTTAATTTTTTTTTAAAGATTTTATTTATTTATTTGAGAGAGAGAATGAGAGAGAGAGCACATGAGAGGGGGGAGGATCAGAGGGAGAAGGAGACCCCCTGCTGAGCAAGGAGCCCGATATGGGACTCGATCCTGGGACTCCAGGATCATGATCTGAGCCGAAGGCAGTCTTTAACCAACTGAGCCACCCAGGCGCCCGAGAATAACTTATGTATTTTAAACTATGGTTTCTGTAATCTAATCTCTATATTTACACCATTGAAAGGTGAATATTGGAGTTTGGCACTGAAAAAAGAACACACCCTTCTAATTCACCCCAAGGAAGAAAGGAAGGAAGAATTCCTTAAACCTATTTTCTATACAACTTTGCTTCCTGGTTATTTAAACTTATTCAGTAGTTTATTTTGATGCTGAGGGATTCAATCAAAATCTCTTTCAAAGGAGTCAAACTCTAGGACAAAGAAAAGGGAGACAAGAGTGATAGGTGTCCCAAAGGTACTGCAACCATAGTAAAGTGCAGGAGAGCAGAATATTAACAAATTTTTAAAAAGATTAAAAAAGAATATTTTATATTACAAAGCTATTTCAAATAAACAATTGACATTTTAAATAAAATATGAATAGAAAATAAATTGGTGACATAAAAATATGAAATTAATTTTGATTAAAAATGAATTATCATTTTGAAAAGGTTCAAAATTTAGCTGAATAAAAGTTCTGGTCCTATTGTCTCAAATGTTTTATAAATAAATACTGTGCCTCTACAGTAGCAGAAATAAGGATAAAAGTTAATTTTGAAAATAAGAAAATGCCATCAATCAAAAAAAAAGGGAAAAAAAGCAGTCAGAAAATCTGCTTTCATGGTGAATCTTAACTGTATAAAATGTCCTTTATTTTCAAAACAGCCCTGATTTTTACAATAAGTAGCCAAATTGCTATCACATTTTTTCTTCTGAAAATATATTCACAGGTTACATTTCAATTTTAGAATACTTTGCAAATAACATCTTAGAAATTTTCTGAATGAAAAAAGTGATATTGTTAGGTAGTAACCAATTTCTCTTAGTTGTCCTATTATTATTTATATGTGTATCTCAATTTTTATTTTATTTTTTTAAAGATTTTATTTATTTATTTATTTATTTATTTATTTATTTATTTGACAGAGAGAGAGACAGCGAGCGAGGGAGTGGGAGGGAGAATCAGGCTCCCCACCAAGCAAAGAGCCCAAAGAGCCCGACGTGGGGCTCAATCCCAGGACCCTGGGATCATGACCTTAGCCAAAGGCAGACGCTTAACGACTGAGCTACCCAGGCGCCCCACGTATCTCAATTTTTAAATGTCACTATATTAGTAAGAATTTATAACAGGATGTTAGGTACATACTATAAAAACAAAATACTAATTTAAAAAATTTAGATTTTAAAACAATATACCAAAAACTATGTTCATTTGGTTGTTAATAAAACAACAAAATTTACATTATTATTATTAATCAATAAAGCAGTAAAAGTAAATGGAAAACTAAAATACTTCAGTAATAGAAGACAAACATCTGATTTGAAATATCATTTAAGCTTTAGAAAATCTGAGGAGTCCTCACAGATAAAGAATTCAGATAGAGTCATATAAAGTGCTTAATCCCACTGCTAGTTCTGTAATTTTACTTTAAACTATTATTAAAGTTTATGAAAGGGAGGGAAAAGTCTATTTAGAAGTATCCCTGAGTCTAAGGACATACACTTTTAAAATTTTGATGAATGCTGTCAAATTGTCCTCTAAAAGGATTGTACTAATTTATATTCTCATCAACAGCATATGAAATAATGCCCATTTCCCAGACCCTTTCCATTAGCATATAACAAACTTTTTATTGTCAGTAATCTGACAGGCAGAAATTCTCATTGCTGTTTTAATTTGCATTTTTGATCATTATTATGTTCTCATATATTTATTTGCCACTTGCATGTCTTCTGTGAATTGTCCAAACATACAGTGCCTGTTTTTCTACTGTTTTGTCCTGATTTGTGGGATTTTGTTCAATATTAAGGGTAACTTGTCTGTTACATAACTTGCAAATACTGTTCCACATTACTGTTTATATTTTAACTTAGTTTATATTATTGTTTTCTGTGAAAAAAACAAACTTTCAAGTGTTTTGTAGCCAAATCTGTCCATTTTCTCCTTTATGGCATCTTGGCTGCATGCCATCCTTTATAAAACACATTAAAATTTCCCCTCAATTGGCATATTATGAAAAGAATAATGGTATGTTTTATATTTAGTGATGCCCCAAACAACTCAACACTCAAATACTAAGACTGAAACATGTGGTTAAATCTAAAAGAGCTGCAGATATTCATTTAAAAAAATAATTTAAGAAACACACACAACAATTTGAGCCATGGCATAATGGAGTTTCTTTTACCATCTCTCAGGTCTTTAGCCTTCCATTATGTAGATAGTATGAGATCTTTCAGAATAATAAAATATAAAAGTAAAAAAAAAAATTAAAATCATTCACTCTAACTACACCTAATATGGGAAAATTCCCTAATTCTATGCCTGAGAAAAAAATGGTCCATCCCATTTCCAGCCAATTCTAATTGATATCAAATTTTTCTGCATGTTGAGCCAAAAGCTGCCTCCTTGCTTTATTTATTGCTGTAGACCTACTCCGCGGAAAAAGAGAAAACAAGTGTACCACCACCTCTGTACCACTGCATCCTTGCAGATAATTGAAATATTTTCTTCAAGTTTGATTGTTCTTTCCTTATTGTACTTTTTAATATAAATATCTGTTCACATGTCTAAATGACCCAACAGACTATAATCTCCATGAAGACAGTGCAAATGTCTTTTAAATCTTAATCCTTGGTGCCTGTTATGTAGAAAGCATTTAATACACAACTGGGTGAATGGAAAGAAAAAAAAACGTATAGAGTTGTCTAATTTCCTACTTTTAGAAAATTTAAATTTGTCAATATTTTCCTTGTAATCAAGAAAGTCAGACATAATGATCTGTTTCTTATGTGATATTCTAAGATTTTAATGTATAGTTCTTTGTCTTGAACACATTCCTGATAAATATGTGATACTGAACAATTAAAAATATATCTACAGATCCAAAATAGTCCATAAAGTAGTTCATCTGCACTGTGCAATTAATATATTATTGATCCCCCATGACATTTTCAATGTCATTGTGACATGTTAGTTAATATAAGGGAATTTGGTATTATGGCTTTACACATCCAATTATATTCATATTAATTTTATAAACCACTCACTAAATAGAGATTTTGGAGCTGTATACACGCAAGCAATAAGTATGAACAGAGTCAGGTCAGATCTCCTAGGGGACCTCAGGCATAAAACTAAAGATCTTCAATGGTAAATCTATTCTGAAAATAAATTTTTTCTAAGAAATGTGCTTGGTATTTTTAAAAATATATGAATCTTCACCACCTAGTTGCAACCAAAAAATACTTACTTCACTGTGGTACTTAGAAGAAAGTTCAGCTGTGGCATCAGCAAGCTGTCTGGGGCTGAGAGGTAACGATCAAACTGAACCTACATGAAACAGAGAAAGAGCAAAACATAAAGTGCATATATTTGCTAGTAGACATCTCAAATACAACCATCACTTATAAGGGTTAAATCTTAGCAAATATACTATGGTACAAATAATGAGTTCTTTGTGATCAAAATGAGATATTGCTTCAACAGTCTAACTAAAATTCCCTAAAGTGTCAACTTCTTAATGTAGTCAGTATCAGCAATAACTACTTTTAAAATTCTGAATCCAAGTCATTCATCTTAATCTCCTTCACCAAACTTTTGAGTAACAATATTAACAAGAAAGGTCATCAGATTTCAAGTCTACCTTACTTTCTTAAATCCACTGTATTTGTTAATTGTTAATTTACCTATTCATTCAACTAATATTTATTGAGTACCTACTATTAGGAAGGTACTATATTAGGTAAAGTGTGTATAATGGTGAGCAAAAGAGGCCAGACCCTAGCTTCACAGAGCTTATGATCTACTGAGAAAGGTAGTAGACAAATAATAATGTAAATAAAATATAATTACAAATTGTGTTAGATGCCATGAAGGAAAACACCAAAGTACTATAAAAGTGTAAATCAGGAGGATGGACCTAGTTTCTGTGTTTGGCAAAAGAATCTGAGGAAAGGACATGTGAAGTGAGATCTTAAGAGATGAATAGGGATTAAGTAAGAGAGTGTGTAGTAGGAGCTCAGGGGTAGCATGGATAGGATAGCATGGATGAAGGCCTGAGGTGAGAAAGAGAATGGCTAACAGAGATCGGTTCATGTAGGTCTCCTACACTTTTTTAAAGGATTTTAATTCTTATTGGTAAAAGCATTTAGGAAACCATTGAAGGAGGGGAATAATCTGATTTAAGTTTTAAGAAGCTACATCTGGCTACAGCAAGGAGGGAAGGTTGTAATGGTAGATGCAAGGATACCAAATAGGTGGCTATTGAAGCATCTTAGACCACAAGGACAGTAACATGGTAGATAGAAGAGGAGATATTTGAGAGAACTGGATAGTAAAACCATCAGCATTTGGTTAGTGACAAGGTGGAAGGGCTGACTCCCAGAGCTGGATCTGTATAATTTAATTCACAGCATTATCACAATTCATAACTGTATTCTTTTCACATTTATTTAGTTGTGCAACAGCTACACTCCTTACTAGATCACGTCTATTTTCATCCCAATTCTTAGCAGGATGCCTAGGAAACAGAAGATAATGTTGAAATGATAATGGACAGATGCTCTTACCAATTTGTGTTGGGAAACATGGAAAAGGCCTGGGGGTGGGGCAGGAAAGACTCAGAAGAGTTCAATTCTGGGATATGCTGAACTGAAGTGCCCTGAAGCAATTCAAGTGAAGGCAACAGACAGTTATATATAGAATGATGGACCACACACAAAACAAGTTTAAGAAGAAGCACAAAATAATTTGTAATGGGATTTAAATATATTTTGTGGGTTTATATTATGGACTGGATATGTGTTGGTGGGAGAGAAAGAGAGGGAGGAAACACATTTATTGATTGCTAACTAAGGTTACTGATCTTTGTAATGTGTAGACTTATGTCCTCGTTTGGGAGGGGGGTGGAATACCTTGAAGTGGGACTACTGGGTAGTATGGTGAGTGTATATTTAACTTTCTAAGACACTTATCTTTTTAAATTAATCTAAAATTTATTCATTTTTATTTATTTTTAAACTTTTTAGAATAAAATCTTCGTATTTTTATAGTTTTTACTGTGATGTTTGATGAACAGAAGTTATAACTATTACTTCTCTCTATGTGTATATATATTCTTTTATCATGACATAATATTCCTTATTTATCTTATTTAGTGTTTTTAAAATCTATCATCTAATATTAATATTGTTGGTTCTGCATTCTTTGCATTGTTAGGTATCTTGTGGGCTTATCCCTTTCATATAATTTAGCTCTGTAAGATGATAGGTAACAAAGCCTTGGTATCAAAAGTAATCCAGGAGAACTGTGTGCTAAAGTCAAGCCATTGTGGTGAGTATTTAAATACTTAGGATAGGATAGGGAGTGTAGTAGTTCAGAGTGTCAGTACTAGGTTGAATGGGTTTGTTCAGAGGATTAGAGTTAATATATGAAAAACACTAGCATGCTCAATAAATGCTAAAGACACTGTTGTTATTACTGCTGCTATTGTGTAATTACTGCTGCTATAAGTGTATTATTACAAAGCTTCCAAACAAGATCACCCTATGTTGGCTAAACGAGTGTCACATGACTGGTGGATATACACACATGCCAAGTATATACGTAAGACGTGGAAATGTGTTACAAGAAGTGGCGCTCATAGACGTGCAGGCAAGCTCCCCACTTGAAAAGAAGGAAATAAAGTGGAGTTTGAGGAGTCTCACACTCAAGAGTAATATGTTATTTTAAGACTGGAATCCAATTTCAGTTATCACCTCAGGAAGAAATCAAGAACTATAAGCCAAAGATCACTAACAGTAGGAAGTCTTCAATGATATATAGTCTAACAACTTTTCATCTGTCATTCCTGTTTCTCCATTACGTTAGAAGTAAGACTCTGAAAATCAAGAAAACCTAAACAGGAATGATGAGGAGTTAGGGTAGAGTGGAATATTACTACAAACGTATGTCTTGGTCAGACCTTAGTTCAAGGAAACATTATTATCGCACCCAATGTGAATGTAGTATATCAAGAGATAAAAATTACCACCCAAGACAAAATTAATAATAATCAGTATAGAGGAAACCTATGTCGAAATGCTTTACTATTCACTTACCATTGCAGCCTTCAGTGCCACAGAATCTAGGTTGGGCAAATTAGCTAAAGAGCCCTAAAAAACAAAACAAAATGGCAAAAACAAGATGTAAAAAAAGGTGCTATAGTTTCAGTTCATTTACGAAATATAGTCTATTAATAGATTCCCCAAATTTGGAAATTCAGCTCCTTTCCAAAGAACTCAAGTGTCATCTCTTCAACCTCAACTACAGTAGGTTCTATGACTTGATCATTTTTTTTTTTTTTTTGAGAGAGAGCGCGAGCAGGGGAGGAGGAGAGGGAGAAACATAGGGAGAAGCAGGCTCCCCGCTGAGCAAGAAGCCCGATATGGGACTCGATCCCAGGACCCCGAGATCATGACCTGAGCTGAAGGCAGACGCCCAACCGACCGAGCCACCCAGGTGCCCCCTGGATCATTTTTATGTAACTAGCACGAAGGCACGCAATCATATTTGTTGGAGGGAGTGACAAACCCCAGTTTATTAACAATGGGAATACCAGGACATTTCAGATTTACATATAAGTAAGGCAAAACGCAAGGAAGCACTTAGAAAATGTCAGTAAATCATGGAGGCTTGAAGTTGCACTCTGACAACTTTAGGTAGTATAAAACAGCAGCAGAACTGATTCCTCTTTGGTAGAAATTTGCTTGCTGCTTTATCAGAAAAAAACATTTGGAACTGGTGATTTTTGAAAGCCTCATTTAAAAGTTCCTGGACTATAAAATATTCATCATGTTAATGCCATTTAAATGAGTTCTCTGCTTTTTATTTTATTTTTTTTAATTTAATTTTATTATGTTATGTTAATCACCATACATTACATCATTAGTTTCTGATGTAGTGTTCCATGATTCATTGTTTGCGTATAACACCCAGTGCTCCATGCAGAACGTGCCCTCTTTAATAACCCATCACCAGGCTAACTCATCCCCCCACTCCCCCCCCCTCTAGAAGGCTCAGTTTGTTTCTCAGAGTCCATAGTCTCTCATGGTTCATCTCCCCCTCCGATTTCCCCCCTTCATTTTTCCCTTCCTACTATCTTTTTTTTTTTTTTTTAACATATAATGTATTATTTGTTTCAGAGGTACAGGTCTGTGATTCAACAGTCTTACACAATTCACAGCACTCACCATAGCACATACCCTCCCCGATGTCAATCACCCAGCACCGCCCCCCATCCCTCCCATCAGAGTTCCCTGCTTTTTAAAGAAAGATCCTGACATAGGTTTCTCGGGTTCCCCCATTCCCTTCTCTATTTCCACTGGAGTTTTATAGCTTAACAAGATTTTATGCTGGCCTCAAAGTATTTACCTTTCCAAAGTAATAGACCAAGATTCACTAAGTTAAAAAGGGGACAACTGCATTTACACAGTAATCTATGCATTCAATTAACTGATAGTGATATAGGACTCTGGAAAATTTATCAGTATGAATATCCTTTATACATTTTATAATACTAAGTTTTTTTTTCATTATTTTTAACCAAAATTACCATAGTAAAAAGGACAGTTAATATTTGGGAGCACTCTACAACATCTCAGGTAGTCATCTAGGAACTGTACATGTATTTTCTCACTTTATCTTCAGAGCAACCCTATGATACAGATATTAATATCACCCCAATTCCACAGATGAGGAAAGAGACACAGAGAGATAAGTCACTTTCCCAGTGAAAAACAGCATTAAGTGGCAGAGCCAAGATTCAAACTAGAGTCTAGCTCTAGAACTACCATGCTCTAAATGGGCATTTCTCTAATTAGGATCTCCCGTGTGCTTACCTGTTCAGGCTTATGTTGCTGTACGGTGTTATAGATAGAACTCAAGCCTGCTCTAGTTAAAACGTAAGAAGCTTGCTCATTTATAAGTGTGTCCAAATGTGCTTCAATCTAAAATAAAACACAACAGAAAGAAAATATTTTAAAAGAGGAATAGGACTGATGAGAGTAGAAGTAGACCACCCTGGAGTGAGCTCTTCATCAGGGACTTGCTCCTTGCAGTGGCTATGAGGCCAGACCATGAGGCACAGGAGCTGCTTCTGTGACAAAAGCTTTTCCTTCCCCAAAGAGGAAGTCCTTCTACAAAAGGGAGAGAAAAATCTCACTTTAAAAATGATAACTAAAGAGGACTCCAGGACTAGCCACTAGTCAAAAAATCTGAGTTGCCTGTCAGCTCTTTTAAAAGATGGCACTAAGCAAAACACAAACAAAAAACAAGAAACACTAAAAAATAACAACAGTGTAAAATAAAATATTTAGGAAGACTTCTGGGAAGATGAAGGCCTTATGTTCCTGACCTCCACATTCCCTTACCCTCCCAACTTATTGGACTGACTCAACCAATCAAATGTGCCGTCTGGAGAAGCAGGTTTGTTATAATTAGGGGAGAGCTGAGGACTCAGCAGGAGGTTGGTCAAAGATTTCAGGTTTAGGAACTGCCCATGAAGATGTGAACTAGCAGATGTGAGTTGTATATGCTCACCCACTTTGTATTATCTTTGAGGAAGCCATCCAATGCAATGGGGGCAGAATCCACACAAATGGACTACCCTGATGGGTTGAAGTATCCCCTAGTGGGAAGAAATCTGCTGCTCCCTTACTTTTACCAGTATAGGCCCGAGAGTTTGGGATTCTTCCATCTTTTCCTGACCAGGGAGTTCCCTCAGTTTTACCAGTTTGTTTGCCCATGGCACAGTATACTAACTGTGCTCTTAATATCTGAATGCTTGCCGTTGTCCAAGTAAACTCCAATAGCTGAGCCCTTCCCTCTTAAAAAACTTAAAACTAACTTAAAAGAGGTGAATATGTTCTAAGAGAAAACCCATCTGAATAATTAGAACAAATATCTTTTCCGGAGGCAACTCTATTAAAAGACACAGAGTACTTTAATTTTTTTTTAAGTGAATGTCCAAGAAAGTACAATTAGAGCCCTTCAGTCACTAGACTTACTGGAAATCAAAGAAAAACAAGAAGTGCAAATATAAACACTTAATGAAAGAGTTACTGCTAAGAACCAAATGAGTATCTGAAGAAGAACAGAAGAAAAGTAATACAGTAACATCAAAGAAAGATTAAATTAAAGAGATATAAAAAGAAATCAGAAGAGAGATTCTGGAGATAAAACCAACTAAGGGCAGGAGCTTCAGAATATAAAAAGTAACAGATGGAAAAGTGATAATTAATTAGATAGTAAAAAACTTTATTGAGCAAAAGAAAGGGTTGAATCTTTAGACTGAAATGGCTCTGCAAAATCCAAATGGAAATAACAGAAAAAGAGACATACCAAAAAATATCCTGAGGAAATATCTGAACTCAAAGGAAAATCCGTACAAGCTTCCAGATGGACAGAAAAAGTCACCACAAAGAAAAGAGCATCAGACTAGCCTGAACGCCTTACTTGAAACACTGGAAGAAGGCAAGTAAGAGTGGAAGAACATTAATAGACTACTGATAGAAAAACTCTGAAAATCAACAATCTTTTTTACTCCACAAGGTGAACTTTCTTTGGAGGGCCTAAATAAACCACATCTTCCAGTATCTGCACCATTGTACAGTCCTCTCTCACACTGACTCTGGGCTGGCCCATGCAACAAGCATTGGCCAACAGCCAATCAGCAAGCATGGAGTAAGTACAGGCTGCCTAGGCACTTACACACTGGGGCTTATCCCCTTGGAATGCAAAACATGACCACGGAATAGTTAAGAAACACAGATAATTGGGGATAAAAGAGACTGATGAACACCTGATATATCTGAACTTCTTGAGAAAAGATTTAGACAAATGGTAGAGTTTGGGGGTTGAATTAGTGATAAATACAGTAAAAACCAGTGAATTAAAAAAAAAAGAATTTTATTAATTCCACAAAAAAAGAGTTATGTAAGGAAGGAAAATTAATCATACTTCATTATATTTCTTTTAAAAGAAGGAATTAGAAATTAGAAAATATCACAAGTTTAGATGTATCAAAACTTATTCCTCAGAAACCCCTAAAACTTTACAAATGAATTTTTACCATAGCCACTGCCAAATTACTTATATACTTGTAATAACACAGAACATTCAGAGTTTATTCTTAAAAACATTATATTTACCAAAATCCACTATTTCAAAATCAGAAGCCAAGTATCTGGTAAATTTTACAAATGGCTTTGTTTTAGCCACTTTACAAACTCTTAAGCGATACCATTTGGCTTATAGGACTAGAGTCACCGGTATAACAAACTGTAATGTTTTGCCTAACACTGGTTTACACATAGATAAAAATATATCTGTCCTCTGTAACACCTTCTGCACTAGCTAGAAAGCTTGAAAAATATAGCATATTATTCACAGTTCAGAAACTGAAATCTGCATACAGAGTAACTGTTCCAATCAATAAGAAAAGCTTCATTCCATCATCACAAACTATGGTTTGAATAAAATGTCGTATTTATTATATATTCTAGCTTCCCCCAAACAAATCCAAACTACCGAGTGTGTGTGTATGGACTTCCATCAGATTATACCAAAGGATTTATAGAAAGTAGGTCAATGAAATTGGATTAAAGCCAGTAACTGAGATCGTATACAGAAAAAAAGGCTCTCCATCAGATTATACCAAAGGATTTATAGAAAGTAGGTCAATGAAATTGGATTAAAGCCAGTAACTGAGATCGTATACAGAAAAAAAGGCTCTATCACAGTGAGCTGTCATCTTATGGTAAAATTTACCTGAAACTGTAGCATTTCTAGACGTCTGTCAGTGAACTCAAACAGAGCTAGTGTTGTCTTCATCATATATAGTGAATTGACCATGAAAGTGGCCATGTCAGCTGTGCCTAAATTGCTGGCAGATACAGTACACATTTGGAGGAGAGGATCCAAGACACATGATAAAACCTTTAAATGAAAAATAAAATGAAATTTATTTTTTTTTATTCCCCAATCAGTGATACAGGCTTGGGTGAACAGTACTTCAGAACGAATATCAAACTAACTGGAAGGGGGCCAACTTACAGAAGTACATTTCAAAAAGATTAAATGGTGCAGTAGTCATAATGTTTTTTACAATGAGCATCACTGAATAAAATACTTTTCAAATTAAAGAGAGCTGGTTTAATATTTGAAGGAAAAATCAATGAGAAGGATTGTTAAAATGTATGGGTTATAAAATGCCAGAATTTCAACAGAATGTATAATAGGGAGCAATAAGTAATTGTTAAAAATGATTTATAACATACTTGCACAAAGTCAGCTTGACGGGCATCTAATGGTACGACTGAAGAATCGTGAGATGCCAAAACTTCACGCAACAACATGAGTGTCTGATTTAATGCAGAACTTGGTCCAAGATCAGGTGGTGGGAGTTCAACCTAAAATAAAGGGTGGTTCATCCACTGCTTACATTTTTCCACTAAATTTTAATGTATAAATAAATGCAATTCATTGTAAAATAATACATATAAAAGATGTAAAGCTTTGACATATTATAAAACCTATAATTTATCAGTAGCTTATACTAATAAGCATAGAAAGTGACACAGAAGTTTTTTGTTATATTATTACAGAATATATTCTTCTCATAGCAGTGTAGAATTTGTACTTCCAAAATTCAAAAAATTATAAGAAAACTTAGTGGTCTTTGAATTGTAGAATTATATTTTTATACAAACTTGAAATGGATTACTGTTTTTTGTTTTTTTTTTTTTTAGCCCAAGTCATAAGAAAAAGGCAATCCAGAAACCACCACTCCCCCAACAGTAACATAACTGAGAATCGTCATCCATCCCAGGCCCAAATCTCAGAGATTTTGGTTCAATATGCATAGGTTTGGGGCCTAGGAATCTATCTTTCAATAAGCACCACAGGCAATTTTCAAGAGATTGGTGTATGGGCTACACACTTCACAAAAATGCAGTACATACACACTGTATTCTACACAGTATAACACTGCCACTAAAATCTTAAGAACTCAAGTTAAAGATTAGTTTTACATTTTAGATTACCATTTACTAGTTGTGTGGTCCTGGGTAAGCTCTTTAACTTCTCAGAGCTTCAGAGAGATTCTGTAAGGACTAAGTTGGATTGTTGCATCTAAACTACTAGTAGAGTACTAGGCACTTAGTAACTGGAAAGTATGCCAAGTTCATTACCCCTACTTGCCAGCATCATGATATCCAAAAAGACGTCCCTGTGAATTTTTTAAAACACATTTTTCTGAGTACTTATAATATTAATATAGACAGATTTTGTTTTATTTATAAAATCTCATACTTAGAAGTCCATGTAAGAGATTATAGCCTTGTATCAGATAGAAAGGTGTAAGAATTTATAAATATCTGGGTTTATGTTAAGAATGTTTTATATAGAAAAGTTAATACATAAGTGACATCAGCAGAAATGGTGAAGTATGGACCTCTGAAAATCCTCCCCTCCTTCACAAAAGCAACAAAACCAAAAAATATAAGACATGCAAAGAAACAAAAAAATATGGTCCATGCACAGAAAAAAAAAAGTCAATAGGAACTTTCCCTGAGGAAGCCCAAACATTGGAGTTACTACTCAAAAACTTTAAATCAGCTATTTTAAATATGTTCAAAAAACTAAAGGAAACCATGTTAATGAACTAAAGTATGAAAACAGTGTCTCATCAAATAGAGAACATCAATAAAGAGATAGAAATGATAAAAAAAAAAAGTAACCAAATGGAAATTCTGTAGTTGAAAATCTCTAAAATGAAAAATTCACTATAGGGATTCAATGGCACATTTGAGTAGGCAGAATAAATGACCACTGAACTTGAAGATAGGCCAATTAAAGTTATCCAGTCTGCAGAATTGGAAGAAAAAAAAATGAAAGAAAGTTCAGAGCTTCAGATACCTACGGAACACCATCAACGTAAGCACAATGGGGATCTTAGAAGAGAGGAGTGCAGAAAGAATATTTGAAGAAATAATGACAAAGACTTCACAAATGTGATTAAGACAAAACATTAATCTAAACATTCAATAAGCTCACAAACTCTACACAGAATAAACTTAAATAGATCCACACTAAGACACATCACAATCAAACTGTCAAAAGACAGAGAATTTGAAAGTAGGAGAAAAGTAACTGGTTCTGACAAAGGAAGCTCGTAAGATTAACAGCTGATTTCTCATCAGAAAACATGGAGGCCAGAAGCCACTGGATGGCATAGTCGAGGGCTGAAAGACTATCAACAAAAGATTTCTATATTCAGTAAAACTATCCTTCAAGAATAGTTGACGGAGAAATTGACATTCCCAAGAAACAAAAACAAAAACTGTTCACTAGGAAACCTGTTCCACGAGAAATATGGGAAATCCTTCAGGCTAAAGTACAGGGACACTAGAGATAACTTAAATTCATATGAAGAAATAAAGAACATCAGTAAAGGTTCTGACATAGATAAATACAAGACAGTATTAATATACTTTCCATTTGTAATTCCTTTTTTCCCTTATTTACAAGACAACTGCATGAAGCAATAATTATAATTCCATGTTAATGAGCACATAATGTAGAAAGATGTAATTTGTAATAATAATAGTGTAAAGGAAGAGGAAAACTAGGCTATGTAGGAGTAAAACTTTCATGTGCTATTGAAAGTAAGTTGGTATTAACCTGAACTGTTATAAATTAAGATGTTAATTGTAATTCCCATGGCACCACTAAGAAACTAACTACACACACAAACTTTCACTCACATATATTTAAATAAATAGTAAGGGAATTAAAGTAGTATACTAGAAAATATTAACACAAAAAAAGGCAATAATAGAGGGACAGAGGAACAAAAACAGTTAAGACATACAAGAATAGCGAAATGGTACTACTTTATCAGCAATTAAATTAAATGTAAATGGATTAGACATGCCATCTAAAAAGCAGAGTGGCAGATGGATTTTTTAAAAAGAATAATCCTACTATCTATATGCTGTCTTCAAAGAAACACTTTAGATTTAAAGACACAAAAAGGTTGAAAGTGAAAGGATGGGAAATGATAAACCTTGCATACAAAAACCAAAAGAGTTACAGCAGCTATACTGATTTCAGACAAAATAAACTCTGAAGACAAAAGTTGTTACTAGAAACAAAGAAGGGTATTTTATAATGTTATTAAGAAGACATGACAATTACAAACATGTGTGCATTTAACAACAGAGCCCCAAATACATGAAGCCAAGATTGAAGCCAAAATTGAAGGAAAAGTATCTCTCATGGCAAATATTTATTTCAAGTTTCACATCTCTTTCAGTTTTATTTCTTTTTTTGTATTAAATTCAAATTGAATTAAGAAAGACTCCAGAATACGAAGTCATCTCCTATAAAAGTATTTTCTATTCATTCATCCAATTTAAAAAGATATATAAAATGTTAAACTGATGGCAATGAGGGGCACCTGGGTGGTGGCTCAGGCAGTTAAGTGTCTGCCTTCGGATCAAGTCATGATCCCAGGGTGCTGGGACCAAGCCCCACATTGGGGTCCCTGCTCAGCAGGGAAACTGCTTCTCCTTCTACCACTCCCCCTGCTTGTGCTCTCTGTCAAATAAATAAAATCTTAAAAAAAAACTGATGGCAATGATGGTTATTTAAAATTATTTCTAAATGAAGGAATTTTTGAAAACTTTCATCTTCGTGTTTTTCTGCATGGTTTGAATCCTTATCATGAATTTATGCATATCAATTTTACAAAAATAGAGCAATCTATCACCCAAACTGAATGAAACATGTCAACCTGTTAATAGCAATTAATTCAGGATTAACAAGGGATGGATGACCATGATTTTGTTCTTTGTGCTTTCAAATGTTTTAAACTAAACTATTTGTTATTAAAGTGTACTTAAAATTTTGGAAATTTTAATTAGAATATATAGGTATTACATATACATGCATGCATATACATAAGTAATATAAAATGCACAGAAGCTAGTCAAATAAAAAATGACTCAGGAATCTTTAGATAAGTATAAATCAGTAAGATTTGCCAGCACTCTAACAGCTTTAATACAGAAATAGGCATCTATATAAACCAGAGAAATTTGTGTGTGTATGTGTGTGTGTGTGTGTGTGTGAGTCTCCCAAAACCTTTCATAAAAAGAAAAAATAATAATCAAGAATTAACAAATCCTCCAGGGAAGCTTCAGTACAGCTACATACACTGTATGACTAAGACCCTAATGTTTAATGTGCAATTTTCTAAGTTATAAACAATAGTATCATTTGGAAACAAACAAAAACCTTAAAGATTATCTTTCAAAAATTCATAGTTTTTCAATTGCCAATCAAAACAGAAGGCCGATGAGAGAAATCTTATGTACCAATAAGAGCTGATGAGAAACCTCTTTTTACCCTCTTGAATTAAAGGTCTTTAAAAGCTGTGCAAATTTAAAGCAGAAGTCAGGCCTCTGTTAGCAGAGCCAATGATAAATGATACAAGTACTACTTGAACTCACTTCATTCAACAAACTGACATTCTGTGAAGCGATTTTACACACATCTATCAGATCAGCAATAGCTCAGAATCACACATCAAAGGCAAAGTGAGAATTATGGCAGTTTCAGATAAACACGATTTATAATTTTATAATAATGTAGTAAAAATAATGGATAGAAAATTGAAAGAAGAAAAATATTTAATTAATTCAATTTAATTTCATCCAAGTGAAATGTATTTCTAATGGTTAAACTTCATATAAGATAGTGTGGTATTGGTGCAAGGACAGACAAACCAATGGGAGTAGAATAAACTTTATAAAACAAATCCACACATTTATGGTCTTGTAATTTCTGACAAAGTTTCCATTGCAATTCAGTGGGAAAGGCTTGCCTTTATAATAAATGGTGCTTGATCTACTAGATATTCAAATGGGAAAGATTTTAACCTTGACTCCTACACCTCACGGCATACTCAAAAATTAATTTGAGATGGACCAAAGACCTAAATGTAGAAGCTAAAGCAACGAAGTTTCTTAGAAAATATATGTAAGGATAACTTAATGACCTAGGGCAGGAGAAGATTAAATGACTAAAAGTTAGGATATAGGACAAAATTAAAATGAAGAACTTCTGTTCATCAAAATACACCATTAAGAGGGTGAAAACACAGGTTAAAATTGGGAGAAAATATTTGTAATGCTTATTTGTACCCAGAACACATTTTTTAAAACCCTCAGAAATCAATAAGAGAAATACAGATAATCCAATAGAAAACTGGGTAACAGACTTCAAAATACACTTCACAAAAGGGTAATCCAGCAACCAATAAACATATGAAAAACTGTTCAACATCATTAGTCTTCAAAAAAGTGCAAATCACAAATGAAATACTACCACACAATTTCCACAATGG